AAGCAGTTCCACTGATTGTTCTCCCTATCAGAAAATTTCTCCTTAATTCTAAATTGGTTCTCTCTGCGATTAGTTTCCATCTGTTGCTTCTTGTCCTGCCTTCAGGTGCTTTGGAGAATAGGTCCACCCCATCTTCTTTGTGGCAGCCCCTGAGATATTGGAACACTGCTATCCTGTCCCCCCTCGTCCTTCTTTCCATTAAACTAGACATACCCAATTCCTGCAACCGTTCTTCGTATGTTTTAGCCTCCAGTCCCCTGATCATCTTTGTTGTTCTTCTCTGCACTCTTTCTAGAGCCTCAACATCTTCTTTATATTATGGCAACCAAAACTGGATGCAAGATTCCAAGTGTGGCCCTACCAAGGCCTTATAAAGTGGTATTAACGCTTTGCATGATCTTGGTAATTGATAGAAGGATTAAAATGAGAAAGCATTGGTGGGGGAAGAAAAGGCGTGGTGTAAACTATTTGGGAAATGGACTTTATAGTTTTTCTAAAGAATCTTTGTAATAATTTCCATTCCTTATAAAGTACTCTTTCTTTCCCCCCCCCCACTGAAAGCCATTACCAACAATTGCCTAAATCTTCACCCCTGCAGACGCACAATAAGACCATGTTTTTCTAACCGAGCGGATGAGCTTACATCTTGCGACACTTCGCAAATAATAATTACAAAAACAGAAATATAAATTGATGGTTGTCAAGTTTTTCTGGCAACGGGGAGCAGGGCAATTCCTTCAGAGACCATTTTTTTATTTTTAAAAGAATCCTTCCAACAATTACAACCTGATTTTTCTCCAATTCCTCTCTCCGTCTGGCCTGAAGTGTTGTATTTTGATTTTTTGTTTGTTTGTTTATTTCTTTAGAATGGTTACTTTGCAAATCTGGAAAAAAAAAAACCAAAGAAAAGTCAAAAGTTACTTCAGTGGGAAATACAACTAAATCGTAACACTGATTCCGGTTGAGACCCTTCTCCACTAGTTGGGACTACAGTGATTACTTTCTAGTTGCCCATTTTGACAACCTACTAGTATAAATCTTTATTGATTAGCCCTTGGGCCATATCAAAGTGCAAAGTTCCAGCAACAAATTATTACTATAGTTTGATAAAAGCAATTTAAAACGAAATTTGATAAAATACAGTTTAAAATGGAATTAGAGTAAAATACGACTTAAAATGGAATTGGAGTAAAATACAGTCTAAAATGAAATTAAAATAAGAGTACAGTAATTTAAAATATAGATAAAATGTGATAAAATTATATCTTGGAGTCACCCTTGCAATCTACCCCAATCAGTCCCACAGATGCAGATCTCAACCAAACCATTTTGTTTAAATACTGTGCTGCGTTAAGTTCTGGCCGCACATAAGGTAAGTTGTTTTGATATGGGGATCCTAATGAGTCATTCATTTGGTATATAGACCGAGATATCTGTCTCTCACCCTCTCAGCCTACTAGATCTTCAAGCTCTCAACTGGGTGGATTTTTTTCTTTGGTCACATTTCTTAAGTTGGAGAGGACGTTTTAGCCCACGACATGAAGCGATGATGATGATGATGATGATAATGATAATAATAATAATGTTGGAAGGGACCTTGGAGGTCTTCTAGTCCAACCCCCTGCTCAGGCAGGAAACCCTATACCATTTCAGACAAATGGCTGTCCAGTCTCTTCTTAATAACTTCCAGTGTTAGAGCATTCAAAGCTTCTGGAGGCAGGTTGTTCCACTGGTTCAGGGGCAGGCAACCTTGGCTCTTTTTATGACTCGTGGACGTCAACTCCCAGAACTGCCACCTCCCAAAACTGACACTGATACCTTTTGTGGTTTCTGACTCCAGGGAACTAAACCCAGTGGTGGGATTCAGCCGGTTTGCACCACTTTGGCAGAACCGGTAGCTAATTTTTTTGTTGCCCAGGCCCAGAACGGACTTCCGGAAGCGGCATCCACACAGAGAACCGGTTGTTCACCTATTTGAACCCCACCACTGAACTAAAACCCTGAGAAATGGTTTCTCTTTCTTGGGTGTCTCGGCTGGATGTCTTCCTCTCGGCCCGCGGAGTTAAACTAAGCAAAGGAGCCCAGAAGCTCCAAATATAGTCATCCCCGCTTTGCAAAACAGCAAAAAGAAAAACAGCACTTATAGCAAACAGAGACTCCGTCTTCGCCGGGCACCCGGCTCCCCTTACGATATCCATTAGGCTTTATTTATTCAGAAAGAGTCCTGCCAGCTAGTCTGGGGCAAAAGGCGGTCGCGAATGCGTGTCAGTTCATTTGTCAATGACGTAACAGCGGAGACCAAGTGGTGCCTTTTCAGCCAGGCTGAAATGGAATAAGCCTCTGCGTAGCTCCGTTCTTTTTTTTTTCTCTCTTGCAAAATGCCCGTTTGGCAGAGTGCTTCTTGGCCTGTCTTCTCTGCCTCTCCTCTTCCCCTTCTCTTTCACACACCATAAGAGAGAAGACCCGTTGTCTTCTCCCCCCCCCCCCCCGGCTGGGTGGCAACTGTTGACTGCTCCCAAAAGACGAGAGGGGAAAAGCCGGTCTGTGCACTGTTTGTGCAGGCTTCTTCGAATCTCTAAGGGCAACTGGGAAATGCAGAGATGGACTGAAAAATGGGCATCACAAGACCACAGAGGGGATGCTAGCTTTTCAAGGTAGTTCAGTCAAGAAGCATAACAATGAGTGCCGGCTCTGTTTTGAGTGTGAGGTTGTATTAACAGAATCTCGCAAGCCTGCAGCTTATTTCTCACCTGCTCTCTTTAAACTCTAGAAAGACTCTAGAAAGAGTGCAGAGAAAAGCAACAAAGATGATCAGGAGGCTGGAGGCTAAAACATATGAAGGATGGTTGCAGGAATTGGGCATATCCAGCAACCACGGCTGTGTGATCAAAGCTTGCATATCAAAATAGATTGTGGCTGCCATTTTGATCTTTTGGGACATCTCTTTTAAAGAGAAGGAATCTCATAATAGAAGACCTGATCATGTAGAGTTGGACAGAGGATCATGGATAGCATACCATAACAATAGCATAGATGACATTTTAATATCAAGAGTCCTTCTAATGCAAGAGTCTTCAAACTTGGCCCTTTTATGACTTGTGGACTTCAACTCCCAGAATTCCTCAGCCAGGCACGCTGGCTGAGGAATTCTGGGAGTTGAAGTCCACAAGTCATAAAAGGGCCAAGTTTGAAGACCTCTATTCTAATGCTAAGATTTTATTTCACCCACTAACTTGGCTTATGTCTTTAACTCATTATTTGTGGTCAGGCAAAGACACTGTATCCCAGTCACTGACATGGTGATTAGTGAAATAGCAATAGTAGGTCCAACTAACTAACTGTGGCATGTGTGAACATGACATGTGCACAGCCCCTAGTTGTGGCAGCAGGTGTACAGCTCTTGCAGCTTGTGACCTGCGTACAGCCCCAAGTTTTTTCAGTGTGTCATAGAAGAGAAACCACAGGATTTGAGATTTTACAGGCTAGATTTTTGCCTCAGCATTTCGCCTCTTCTTGCCTTCTGTCATGTTGCTTAAAAATCTCAAGCATCGTAATGGTTGGGCAGGAATTCAGATTTTTGGATGGTTTGGCAGAGGTTGATTTATGGAACGGGGGAGTTAGGAAAGAGGGATCCAGCCACATAAAGGTTGCTGGAGTTTGGCTCCTCATCTTAACCGCATCAAAAGAGTAACCATCAACATGAAGGCCAACTTGGACAAGGCATTAGAAGTTGGATGGGGGCAGAGAGGACCGAGCTACGTTCCTTTGCGTTTGGAAGATTCCTTTTGGACTGAATTAGTGTCACGCTGAGTCATTTTAGCAGGCACAAATTTGGTACAAGGACCAGCAAAGGCGTGCTAGAAAGAGAGCTGGGTGGAAATGAGAAAAAGAGCCAATTTCCAGCTGGGTTCACTTTTCTTTCGGACATTTTTTCCTTTCTCCTTTTTCAAGGTGGCTCTGCTGAAGAGGTTTTGTGGGTTTTTTCACCCCTATCTGAAGCCCTCTTCCCCCAGAGGCCTCTGGCAAGTCACAAACAATAGGCAGCTTCCTTCTCTTTCCCAGAGACCAAGAGGGAGGGGAAAAAAACAGAGAAGGATGACTTTCTTTGGGGGGGGGGGTTGGAAGGAAAGACCCAGCCAAAAGGAAACCTCTGGAGAATGGAATTGAGATGTACCAACCAACATGACAGGGACCCCAAAAAATGAAAGGAGAAAACATCTCTCTTTTCGTGACTCAGTTTTTGCTCCTGATGGAAGGAGAGTAGAGAAGGAACCAGCTTGGATCTAGAACCCAATCAGCAGTTTGAAGCTGGGTGAGAGGACTTGACTATATCAGCATCCTCTTCTCAGTGATGGAAGCAATGCTCCCATTTGAGTCCTGATGGTTCAGATGCAGGGAAGTGTTAGAATATAAAAATCATAGAACTGGAAGGGACCTTGGAGGTCTTTAGTTGAATCCCCTGCTCATCTCTTTTTCTTTCTTACACTTCTATGGAATTGCTTTTACAACATATGGAGATGCAAACATTTTCCTTCTTATGTTTTAATCTTAGAACTAGAGTTAGAATTAGATGATACTGGGGGGGGGGGAATGTGCATGGGAGTTTAGTTAGATATAACAATACTGTAACCAGTGTGAGAATCAAGGTTTTTGAAATAAGAGATGATAAGCAATGGCGGGTTGAAGAACTGGAGGGAAGGCCTGCATTTCAAACTAATTGGAGAATGTGATTTATGACTGTAAATTAGAGGAGGGAATTGTGCTTTGACACTATGTGCTCAGGGGAGGGGGAATTCAGAGTTTGGCTTCGGCTATGTAAGTGCCAATGCTATCCTTCTCGAATAAAGATCCTTTAAGGTAAACAATGCCTCGAAGTTCTTTGAAGAGTTTCATCTGTCGGAACAATGACATTGTGGGTGTTGGTGTTGCAGTTTCTTTTCCTGCTTTCTAGCCGTTGCCGTTCTCATGCCCTGCCTTCTTCTCCCCACGTCTCCCCACAGATTGTGACTCCTACTGCAAGCCAGCCAAGGGCAATTACAAAATCAACATGAAAAAGTACTGCAAGAAAGACTATGGTAAGAAATGTTTTTTTGTTTTACCCTCCAGGATTCTCCTCCTGGATTTCCTTATCTCTCTGCTTTCACCTTATTTATTTAACTTGCAGAGCTATTTATTTACAGGGGGTCCTCGACTTACGAACACAACCAAACCCAACGTTTCCGTGGCTAAGCAGATCGCTTGTTAAAATGAGTTCTGCCCCATTTTACAACCTTTCTTGCCACCGTTGTTAAGCAAACCACTGCAGTTGTTAAGTTAGGAAGACGGCTGTTAAGTGAATCTGGTTCCCCCCCCCATTGACTTTGCTTGTCGGAAGGTCGCAAAAGGGGATTGCGTGACCCTGGGACACTGCAACAGTCATAAATATGAATCAGTTGCCTAGCGCCCGAATTTTGATGGCATGACCTAGTCCAGGGGTAGGCAACCTTGGCTCTTTTATGACTCATGGACTTCAACTCCCAGAATTCCTGAGCCAGCATGAGGGAACTATGGCCCCTTCATGACTCATGGACTTCAGCTCCCAGAATTCCTGAGCCAGCAGGAAACCTCTCCCTTTCCCCTCAGCATGGATGGCTCAGGAATTCTGGGAGTTGAAGTCCACGAGTCATAAAAGAGCCAAGGTTGCCTACCCCTGCTCTTGGGGATGCTGCAACAGTTATAAATGTGAAAAAAGGTCAGAAGTCACTTTTTTCAATGCTGTTGTAACTTTGAACCCTCACTTAGTAATAGTAGTAAAGTTGGAAGGGACCTTGGAGGTCATCTAGTCCAACCCCCTGCTCGGGCAGGAAACCCTTAACGAGTAGTTGTTAAGTGACCAACTACTTTTAGTGCAGAACACTTACCAGACGCTCTCGTAGATAATACTGTATATCTGACTTTCCTTCAAAGGTGCGTCCTTGTTCCGGAAATCAGAATTGAGGGCTGCTCTGAAGATCTGTTCTCCATATGAAACCTTAACCAAGATATGACTATACTGGTTATAGCCCCCACCCCCACCTTGATCAGAAGACACTCTGCATAGGCTCTTAAGACAGGGATTTCCAAACTTGTCAACTTTAAGACTCATGGACTTCAACACCCCCCCCCCTCAAATTCCTGTCTGGCTGAGGAATTCTGGGAGTTGAAGTCCACAAGTCTTAAAGTTGCCAAGTTCGGCGACCCCTTGCTCTAGGGCAGAGGTCCCCAACCTTTTGGTCACCAGGGACCGGTTACACATGGAGAGAGGTTTTTCCATAGACCAGAGGGGGCATGGTTTTGTGTGCTGCCTGCATCTCGCAGGTGAGGCTTTGCTTGTTTGTGTGGACCGGTTGTGCCATGCCGCAGCCCGCTACTGGTTCACAGCCCGATGGTTGGGGACCCCTGAACTAGAGCACTTTAGTTGAGCTCCTTAAGAAATCTGCTTTTCATCCTTTTCAGCCCCCGCAGAGCAAATTCTAGACTTAGAAAAGACAGAATAGGATAGTAAGGAGATCAATAGGCCTCATGATTGTCTAAATTAATCCTGACTTGGGTTTACCTAAATTAATCCTAAATTCAATTTACCCATAGCTCTCGAGTTTGCTGTTCTGCCCTCCCAAAAAAAAAACAGGCCAGCGCCATGCCCATCTGTCTCATCTCCTTTCCCCAGTCTGAAATGAACCAAAAAGAAAGAGAGGGGGAAAAAAATCCTTCTCAAATCTCCAAAAACATTGTGCACCCTTTTCCTTTCTCCACCCCGAAGCCTCTCTGTCTGCCAAATATGTTAAAAAGCACATTTTTCTCTCTTTCGCAAGGTGTGTGGAGTGGAGGGAGAGACGTTGAATAGGATGGGAGGTCTGCAAAGTTTGGGGCGCAGAGCATCCTGCCTGTGGGTTGTTAATCACCCAGACATAAGCACAGTTGCTCTCTCTCTTGAGCACAAAAAAAAAAAGGAGAATCACTAAAAAGGTTTTGATTGATCTTCTCCAGGAACTCTTTGGTTCCAAGAGAAAAGATGTTTTTGGCAAGGTAGAAAGAAAACGGGAATTTGCAATACTTATCCAAGGGCTGAGAGACTGGGTGGCAGCTGCAGAGCTGAAAGCAAAAGGCAAAATCTTTTTTTTTTTTTCCTGCAAAGGCACAATTATCCTTGGAGATAATTGCAATCAGATATCGTGCATTCATTTTGCCGAAACATTCCTTCGGTTGAGAAGTCCCATATCTCAGGTTCTTTGATGGAATAAAGCGAATGTATAAAATCCATAGTTGAAAAGAGAGAGAGAAAAGGGCTCATTAAAATTAGGGGTGGGAGAGAGAGAGAGAGAGAGAGAGAGAGAGAGAAGCTTTGTACAGGTAATCCTCAACTTACAACAGTTTCATTTAGTGACCGTTCAAAGTCACAACGGCCCTGAAAAAAGTGACTTATGGCCATTTTTTGCACTTACGACCATTGCAGCGCTCCCGATGGTCACATGATCAGAATTCAGACGCTTGGCAGCTGACTCGTACTTACGACCGTTGCAGCATCCCGGGGTTATGTGATGAACTCTTATGACCTTCTGACAAGCAAAGTCAATGGGGAAGCCACTTAACAATCGCGTTACTAACTTAACAACTGCAGTGATTCGCTTAACGACCGTGGCAAGGAAAGTCGCAGAATGGGACAGAATTCACAAATGCTTCCTTCACAAATGAAACAAATGTTTCGCTTAGCAACGAAAATTTTGGACTCAATTGTAAGTCGAGGACTACCTGTAATTCTTTTGCACAATATCTGACTGGGTTGTCCTGGGAGAGAGGTAGGCAACCTTGGCTCTTTTATGATTCATGGGCTTCAACTCCCAGAATTCCCGAGCCAGCCATGCTGAGGGGAAAGGGAGAGGTTTCCAAGCTGAGCCATGCTAGCTTAGGAATTCTGGGAGTTGAAGTCCACAAGTCATAAAAGAGCCAAGGTTGCCTACCCCTGCCCTAGGTAAAAGTGCTTATAAAATATTGGGCTAAAGAAGAGTCTGAACACGAAGCCAGCACGTTCTGTCTATTCCTGGGCTGCTGCATCCCTCTTACATTTGTCTGGACTTTTGTTTCCCCCTCCAGTTGTCCAAGTCAACATCTTAGACATGGAGACGGTAGCCAACTGGGCCAAATTCACCGTCAACATCCTCTCGGTCTACAAGTGTCGGGACGAACGTGTGAAACGGGGCGATAACCTCTTGTGGATCCACATGAAAGACCTGGCTTGCAAATGCCCTAAGATCCAAATTAGCAAGAAGTACCTAGTTATGGGAATCAGTGAAAACCCCAGCGACCGGCCGGGATTAATGGCCGACAAGAACAGCTTGGTGATCCAATGGCGGGACGCCTGGACTCGGCGCCTCCGGAAACTGCAGAGGCGGGAGAAAAGGGGGAAGTGTTTGAAACCGTGATTGGTTCGGCCTCGTGTCAGTTCATGCACACCTCCTTCCCCTTGCGCCTGTGGATGGCCTCTGGGCTCCACTCCATGGACTCTTCCGAAAGACACTGTACATATACATAACCTATGAATGGGTGGATTCACCTCTGTATAGTGTATATTTTGACAAAGGTTCTTTTTGGGGGGGGTGAGGGGCGGGGATGGATGTGTCTGTGAGCACAGGGAGGTGTGTTTTTTTAATGTTTATTAAGAATAAGGTGGTAAGGACAAACCTTTAACGAGGAGCAAAGTGAAGGAAAGGTCTTCTGGACCAGTTCATTAAAGGAATGTGGAAGAAAAAAGCTCAGATCAACTCTGGACCAGCAGGACTCCCTCTTCCTTATCTGTCTGTCTGTCTGTCTGCCTGCCTGCCTGTCTGTCTGTCTGTCTGTCTATCATCTATCATCTATCTATAGCTATCATCTATCTGATCTATCTATCACTTCTCTCTCTCATCTACCTACCTATCTCCTACCTCTATCTATCTATCTATCTATCTATCTATCTATCTATCTATCTATCTATCTATCTATCTATATCTTTCTCATCTATCTATCTATCTATCTATCTATCTATCTATCTATCTATATCTTTCTCATCTATCTATCTATCTATCTATCTATCTATCTATCTATCTATCTATATCTTTCTCATTTATCTACCTATATCTATCTATCATCTATCTGATCTATCACTTCTCTCTCATCTACCTACCTATCTCCTATATCTATCTATCTATCTACCTATCTATCTATCTATCTATCTATCTATCTATCTTTCCCTTCTCACCCCTATGGGTGGTCTATGTCTTCCTCAATCTTGCTGCTAGAGGCCTGGAAGTTTCTGCCCAGTATAGAAAGCTCTGATGTTGCTCCTGGGATCTGTTGGAGCTCTGCTCCCAGCTAAGAAGTCTCAGTCCCTAGTGCTTCTACCATACCTGGGACCACTTCGTCATTGACTTTCCACAACCTCTCTAGTTCCTCCTCCTGATGTTGCTGTCTGCTACCTCTATCACCACCACTGTCTTCTGGTCTACTTCTGTTCCTTGCCTGCTACGATGTATCTCCCCGTCTCTCTGATTCTTCCAAATTTCAGGGACGTTTTCAACCACAGGTGGAGAACAGCTCGGACAACTCGGAGGCTAACCTAGAAGAAGGACAACGTTTCGTGCTTCCCAACTCTTAACAGTCACCGTGACAAAATGGCGCTTCCCTCTGCCTTCTGCTTGTTCTCCTCTAAATTATGCCCTAAAATGAAGAATGCTTCTGCTAATCAGGACTGGATTCTGCCTGCAAGGCCAAGAGCTCAATTTAGCTTCTGGTTTTCCAAACAAAGCCTCAGCCTCAATGCTCTTTAATTCCAAATGGATATGTTTGGCACCAGGTTGCAGTGGGTAGAACATGGTGTGCTAGTAAAAAGACTCTCTGGCAAGCCTTAGTTGGTGACAGCCCTCACACACACTCACACCCACTACCCATCAGCACAAACAAGAGCTTGAGGGCACCTTGAACAGATTTGCTAGGGCACCAGCAGCTCAGCTCTCGATGCTATATAAAGCATGTCTGTTGATTGTCTCTCCTGGGGTGTGAAGGACAGGGAAAATCCACCCACAATACATCCCATCATGTTTTCTGGACACTGAGATCTCCAACAGTTTCTGGAGGGAAAGGTTGACTCCCTTCTTTGGTTCATGAAAAGCAAAAGTGTCAATCACAGAATTGCTGTGTGCTTAGCTTGCTAGTTATTGAGCTTCCCTTTGTGATCTCAGTGTCTTTCAACCTTGGCGACTTTTAGAGGTGTAGACTTCACCTCCCAGCATTCACCAAGTCCAGAGATCTTAAAGTTGCCGAAGTGTAGAAACACTGAGCTAAAGAAGTACCACTTTTTTTTCTGAGCTGGGAGACATAACGGGCTCTGAATGGGGAGGCAGAGTGAGATGGACGTCAGCTCCCAGAATGAGCAGAGACCATCCAAAACTAAACATGTAGTGGGCATTCATTAAACACAATGAATACAGTATGATTCTTTCCTTGTTATTTTTTTTTTCAACAGTTTACCCTTCTGTTATATTGAATACCACAACTCAGTTGGTCATAGCTTTTTGGACTCAATTTCTAGGACAGGAGTCCCCAACCTATGAGCCGTGGCCCAGTCCCGGGCCACTGGCCCTTGGCCAGTGGGCCACGTAAATGGCTGGCCGATGCACGCACGCATGGCACACATTCCCCCCACTCGCGCTAGCGCCTGGGGCCTCATTTGTGCATGTGTGCGGGTGGAAGTGAGGCTGCTAACTCCAGGTGGGTGTACGCGGCCCATTTGTGAATGGGGTTGCTAGCCACCACAGGGGGTATGCAGCTGTTCACACATGCACACGGCACCAGTGCATGCTGCATGCGTGAATGGGTTTTTTAGTGCCATGCCAGTGCGTGTGGCCCTATTTGCGTGAGTGTGCATGCACCAGTTTGGAAACTGCTCTCCTTCCCTCCGGGCCATGAGCCCGGAAAGGTTAGAGGCCTCTGTTCTAGGATACAGAAGCCTTTTGTGTGAGCGTCAAAAAAAAAATCACAATGACCATCACAACTGCAGGCATACCTTGCATCAGACAGGCAATATGATGACAAAACCTTCAATAAGAATCAGAATGGCATAAGACCGAAAGACCTTCAGAAGAAGACTTCACGCCTTCTGGACTAGGCAAACACATAACACCCAACCTTCCAATCCATGAAAAGAGTCACTAAACACAACCTCAAACTGGCTAATTCAACAAAGCTTATCGCGGGGGTGTAGATCCTATTCTCAAATTTCTGCCCAACACTTTCCATCCCAACGAATGACTTTAACATAAATTGACTGAGTGCCAAATATAAAGAATGGCCTTCAAGAGTGTGGAGAACCTAGAACCTAGAACGATAGGGCTGAAAGGGACCTTGGAGGTCTTCTAGTCCAACTTCCTGCCTGTGCCAAGAAATCCCCTGCCATTCTGGACTTTCTTGGGGCTTGATGGGATGGATACATGTGACCATAGAAAGAGAACAGGATAATAGAGTTGGAAAGGATGCCAACGTTCAGTCCAACCTTCTACACGAGCAGGAAAGTCTACACCATTTCAGACAAGTGGTTGTCCAGTCTCCTCTTGAAATCCTCCAGTGATGGCTCACCCACAACTTCTGGAGGCAAGCCGTTCCACTGGTTAATTATTCTCACTGTCAGGAAGTTTCTCCTTAGTTTTAGGTTGAGAGTTGAGTCATCTCCTATAAGGCAGTTATCTTAGGGAGGTGAATAACATAATCGGCCATAAGCAAGTGGACTAAAATAGATGGCATTGTCTCTTTTCTTTCAGGTCTGTCTTCTGATGACCATAATAGTTCCTCATGATGAGTCCAAGTAGTCTTCTTTCCCTCTGCTTTAAACGACTAGCAATAACTAGTCTCTGAGATCCACAAGACTCTCTCCACGGTTTCTTTTCCAGTACTGTCATCTTAATATCACTATTTAGATCAGTGGTTCTCAACCTGTGGGTCAGGACCCCATTTGGGGTCGAACGACCATTTCACAGGGGTCGCCAAACAACGCAGTCCGCCATTTTCCCCCCCTTTTCCTTAGCTGTGCTACTCCCTTTTATTCTATTGGCTTTTGAAAGCCAATAGAATAGACTCTCTTGAATAGAGTCTAATTCTATTGGCTTTCAAAAGCCAATAGGAATTGTCCAGGCTGTCTCTGCCCTGCTGAGCCCGCCAAAAGTCCCATTCTGCAAACGGTGCTGCACCAGTTGAGTAGTCCTCGACTTACGACCGGTTGAGTAGTCCTCGACTTACGACCGGTTGGGGGTTGTGGCATGAAAAAGGTTGAGAACCACTGACTTAGATGACTCAGTTGGACTTTCCCAGTGCAGATGATGCTACAGTTGCTACAATTTTATTAAGTGGTTCCATTTATGCTGCTCGCTTGTATTTTTACTTTTATTACCAGTTGTTAAGATCCATCAGCTGTCAGAGTCAGGCATGACTGGAGTGGCATTTAAGGTTAAATAAAGTTGTAAAGTTTTGGAAATATTTGGAAATATTCTGAGTTAACCATGACTGCTGCGCTGAAAGACGTCACTGCCAAGGGGTTGGCTGTCCATAAAGTTCCCTGCCATCTGCTTGGAGTAATGAAGGAATAGCCAAACATGACAAATTTGCAATAAAAGAATGAGAATTATGGCTTGGTGCCCGCGCTCTTTCCTTTTAGCAGCCCTTTCAAAAGCCACTGTGGGAAGAATTTATAAATTTATATAACTGTGTTAGAAATATTGCGTAGGGAATCATATGTTACCTAACTCAGGTCTCCAAAAAGAGTTACTGATTAAGATCCTCCAAAACCTTTTAAGCTCATTGCAAACACAAAAATTAGATACTTATTTCAAATTGTAAACACACACAGACACCTAAGATTCAACAGAATGTAAACATGATTATAGTGCGCACCGTTCAAATGAAGAGACTTAATCACATTGCTTGATTTAATCAACCCCTCCTCCGGGGCCAACACATACACACAACCAACACATCCCTGTCCAACACACCACCCTATAAAACAATCTCTCTGTATCCCGTTTTCTCTGTAGCTGCCCCCTTAGGCAAATCTCTTTGCTTTTGGGAATAAATAATTCTCCTTTTCTCACAACTGACTGGATTTCATTTTTATTTATTCTTGCGCAACTTTGGCTGGAGTTGGAACCCAAATTATTCTTCTGACACAACCAACTTGTTCTTTCAATGGAATATGATCCGGATTGTGCCCAAGTGGCTTGCTAAGAAGATCTGGTTGACGTGCTGATCTTCTTATTCTGCTTGAGCAGAAGATTGAACTAGAAGACCTCCAAGGTCCCTTCCAGCTCTATTCTATTCTAATTATGGTTGTAAGTCAAGGACTACCGTTACCTTCTTCCCCTGAGACATAAAACAGCACTGAGGAAGCTAAGACGGCTTTTTCAGAGGACTTCGTGCAGAGCAAGTATTTGCTAGGAATTCAGGAGACAGAAAATATATAGAAATGACCAGTGGTGGGATTTAAGTAGGTGAACAACCGATTCTTTGCGTGGATGCCACTTCCGGAAGTCCATTCTGGGCCTGGGCAACAAAAAATTAGCTACCGGTTCTGCCGAAGTGGTGGGAACCGGCTGAATCCCACCATTGGAAATGACACACACACACACACCCATTTTTTCCCCCATTTTCCTTTTGGCAGTGAAATAGAGAAGGCTATGCTGTTCTTGTAGCATCTAAGCTTGAGATCTTCATTGCAGCCGCAAATCGGAGAAAGGAAGGAGATCTGGTTGAGACACATCCAGGATTAGCTTGACATTGTCCCATAAGGTGTGAAATTTTCCATCTTCCCTTTGCTTCCCTGACCACAGCTGGCAAATTCCATCCTCCTAAACGGATCATAAACCACAAACCCTTTGTGAGAAAAAAACCCGT